TAATTTCAATTTGATTGCCCACTGCTAATGTATAGAAATATAATTTTTGTATAGTGCTCTTGTATCCTGCAACCTTGTTAGACTCACTTATTTTAGGAGATTTTTTGGCATATTTCATCCAATTTCCTAAGTAGATGATAATAGAGGTATACTGTCTGTGAATAAAGGCAGTTTTACTACTTCCTTTCTGATTTGATTGCCTTTTATTTCTTTTTCTTGATTGATTGCACTGGCTGGAATCCCTAGTAAAATGTTAATTCGAAGTGTTGGGCATGAACTTCTTTGTCTTGTTTCTGATCTTAGGGGGAGAGCATTCAGTCTTTCACCAAAAGGTCTAATGTTAGCTGTAGATTTTTCATAGATGCCCTTTATCAGGTTGAGGAAATACAATTCTATTGCTACTTTTCTAAGATTTTTTTATCAGAAATGGATATTAGATTTTGTCAAGATATTTTTTGTGTGTTGATCAAGATGATCATATGGTTTTTCTTTTTTCATTTATTAATGTTATGAATTACATTGACTGCTTTTTGAATGTTAAACCAGTCTTGCATTCCTGAGATGAACTCTACTTGGTCATGGTGTATTTTCCCTTTTATATATTACTGGGTTTAATTTGCTAAAGTTTTGTTTTAAATTTTTGCATCTATGTTTCTGAGGCATATTGATCTGTGATTTTCTTTCCTTAAAGCGTATTTGTCTTGTTTTGGTATCAAGGTCTCATAAAATGAGTTAGAAAATATTCTCTTTTTTAATTTTCTGGAAGAGGTTATATGGAATTGGTATTATATCTTCCTTAAATATCTGGTAGGATTCACTGAAGCCATCTAGGCCTAGAGTTTTATTTTTCGTTTTTTTGGTAAGGTTTTTAAAGTACAAGTTCAGTTTCTCTAATAGATATAGGGCTATTCAGGTAACTATTTCTTCTTGAGTAAGCTCTAGTATTTTGTGTCTTTAAAGAAATTTGTCCATTCATCTAAGTTGTCAAATTTATCGACATAAACGGTGTTCACAACATTCCCATATTGACCTTTTAATATTTGTAGAATCTGTAGTGATATCATCCTTCTGATTCCTGATATTGGTGATTTGTGTCTTCTCTCCTTTTTTCCTGATTAGTCAGGTTAGAGATTTGTCAATGTTATTGGTCTCAAAGAACCAGATTTTGGTTTCATTGATTTTTCTCTATTGTTTTTCTATTTTTATTTCATTGATTTGTGAGGTTGGCTTTATTGTTTATTTTATTCCTTTCTTCTGTTTACTTTGAGTTTAATTTGCTCTTCTTTTTCTAGTTGCTGAAGGTAAAAGCCATAATCATGAATTTTCGGCCTTTCTACTTTTCTAATATAGGCATTTAATGTTATAAATTTCCCCATAAGAACTGCTTTAGTGACATTCTCAAATTCTTACATGTTGTAGTTTTATATTCATTTAGTTCAAACCACCTAGAAATTTCCTTTTTGATTTCTTCTTTGACTCACGGTTCTTTTTAGAAGTTTGTTATTTAGTTTCTAAGTATTTGGACATGTTCTAGACGTCTTTCTGCTATTGATTTACAATTTAATCCCTTTGTAGTCAGAGATTATACTTTGTATGACTTGAAGCCTAACAAATTTATTGAAACTTGTTTTATGACCCCAAATAGAATCTCTCTTAGTCATTGTCCATGTATCTTGGAAAGAATGTGTATTCTGCTCTTTTTGGGTAGAGTGTTCTAGTAAATGTCAAATCAAATTGGTTGATGATATAGTTCATGATGATATACCCTTTACTAATTTTCTGCCTACTTGATGTATCAATTATTGAGAGCAAAGTATTTAAATCTCTCACTATAATTGAGGATTTGTCTATTTCTCCTTGCAATTCCATCAATTTTGAGTCTTATTTTGAAACTGTTATTAGGTGTGTAAGCACTTGGGATGGTTATGTCCTCTTGCTAATTGACTCTTTACTTTATGAAACCACCTTCTTGATGGTAATATTCTTTACTGTATAATCTACTTTGATATTAATATAGACACTCCAAGTTTGTTTTTGACTAATTTTAGGATATTTTCCATCCTTTTACTTTTAATCTAGTTGTCTTTCCTATTTAAAGTGAATTTCTTGTAGGCAACATATAGTTGGGTTTTGCATTTTTATCCAATCTGTCAGTGACTATCTCTTAATTGGAGTGTTTAGACCATTTTTTTTTTTAAAGATTTTATTTATTTTTTCCCCCCAAAGCCCCAGTAGATAGTTGTATGTCATAGCTGCACATCCTTCTAGTTGCTGTATGTGGGACGCGGCCTCAGCATGGCCGGAGAAGCGGTGCCTCGGTGCGCACCCGGGATCCGAACCCGGGCTGCCAGGAGCGGAGCGCGAGCGCTTAACCGCTAGGCCACGGGGCCGGCCCTAGACCATTTATATTTAATGTTATTATTGCTATAGTTAGCTTTAAGTCTATCACCTTGCTATTTATTTTCTATTTATTCTGTCTGTGTTTTGTTCCCTTTTCCCTCTTTTTTCTGTTTTCTATTGGATTATTTTTATGACTCTCTTTTCATCTCCTTAGTTGACTTATTACCTGTAACTCTTTATTTTGTTATTTTAATGGTTGCTGTAGGGCTTATAATATACATCTTTAACTAATCTCAGTCTATCTTCAAGTAACATTATACCACTCCACATCCAATATAAGAACTTCACAATTCCATTCCTCCCCTTCTATCCTTTATGCTACTGTTTTCATACATTTCACTTATACGTATGTTATAAGCCCCACAGTACATTATTATTCTTTTGTTTAAACAGTTGATTATCTTTTAAAGAGATTTGAATAATATGAAAAGTCTTACATATTTGCCCATATAAGTATCATTTCCATTGCTCTTTATTCCTTTGTATAGATCTAGATTTCCATTTGTTATCATTTTCCTTCCTTCTGAAAGACTTCCTTTAATATTCCTTTGAGAACATTGGAGTGCAAATCTGCTGGTGATAAATTCTTTCAGGTTTTGTTTTTTCAAAGATATTTTCACTGGTACAGAATTTTAGCTTGACAACTTTTTTCTTTCGATATTTTAAATATGTTGCTTCACTCTCTTCTCATGTGTTTTTTTTTCCTCCAAGAAATCTGCTGCCATCCTTACCTTTACATTTTTATCTTGTGTCTTTTTTTTCTGACTACTTTTAAGGTTTTATCTTTATTATGGTTTTGAGCAATTTGGTAATAATGTGTCTCTTGGTGTAGTTTTCTTTGTGTTTCTTGTGTTTACTATTCATTGAACTTAGATCTCTGTGGATTTTTACCTTTCTGCAAATTTGGGAAAATTTTAGCAATTATTTCTTCAAATATTTTTTCTGTCCCTGCTACAATCTGCTTTCCTTTAGGGACTCAAATTACGTATATATTAGGCAACTTGAAATTGTTTCACAGCTCACTGATTTTTTTTTAGATGGTTTCTATTGCTATATCTGCACATTCACTCATCTTTTAATATGTAATATCTAATCAGTCGTTAATCTCACCTAGTGTATTTTTCATCTCACATATAATTTTCATATATAGAAGTTTAATTTGGATCTTTTTTATATCTTCCATGTCTCTACTTAACTTTTTAAATGTATTGAATACAATTATAATAACTATTTGATTGTTTTTCTCTTCTAACTTAGTATCTATGTCAGTTCTGGGTCAATTTTGATTGATTGTTATTCTCATTATGGGCCATGTTTTCCTGCCTCTTTGCATGCCTGGTAATCTTTGATTGGATGTCAGACTTAGTGATTTTTACCTTGTTGTGTGCTGGTTATTTTTGTATTCCTATGAATATCCTTGAGTTTTGTCCTCTGGTACAGTTAAGTTACTAGAAAAGAGTTTTATCCTTTTAGGTCTTACTTTTATGATTTGTTAGGTAGATCTGAGCAGTACTCAGTCTAGGGCTAATTATTCCCCACTACCGAGACAAAACTTTTCTGAGTACTTTACCCTATGCCTCATGAATTATGAGTTTTTCCAGTCTGGTTGGTGGGAATAGACACTGCCAGCCTTGGTGTTCCTTTCAATCTTATTAGAGGAGTCTCAGACTCAAGTAGTTTTCTTATACCTATGCTGATCAGTATTCTCTCCCCATACTTGACGGAGACCCTCTGCTAATCTCTGGATTCCTCTCTGTGCCACTCTATCCTCTCCAGTAATATGTCCTGTGAACTCTAGCCACCTTGGTCTCCCCAGACCCTCAGCTCTATTTCCTCAACTCAGATATCTATGGGGTAACTTCTGAGTCCCCCCTCCCTGCATGTCCTGGAAACTTTCTCAAAGCAATCATGGGTCTCATTTTTTTCCTCTCTCAGGCTTGATGTTCTGTCTCTTAAAAACCATTGTTTCATAACTTTTTTGTCTGTGGGTTGTGTTTTTGTTTGTTTTTTGGTTTTGTTGGTTGGTTGATTGGTTATTTCAGGCAAGAGGATAAATCTGGTCCATATTACCCCATCTTGACTGGAAGTAAAAGTTTAACAAGTCATTTTTTTCTTGCTTCAAGATCAGTTGGGTTCAGATGATCTAATCTGGGGTCTTGGAGAGTTGTTTGGGCTCAGCTGATTTCTACTGTATATTTATACATATACATGTATATGTATATTGTATACAAACATATTTTATATCTGCGTATTATATATTTTATTTGTGCATATTATATATTTACATATACATATTTATATATGTGTAAAATGTGTGTGTATTTATATATATATATATATTTTTTTTTTTTTTTTTTTTTTTTGATGAACAAAGACTGTTTGGTTTAGTTGGAACTGGAAATCAACCTGAAAGTTTTACAAAGAAGCCAGTACTAGCCACCAGGATCTTTTTGGACAGACTGCTACTAATTTCAAAGAAGTCATGAGTATAGTGTTGAAATTTTCCTAGATTCTAGCCTCAGTTTCTAGGAAAAAATATGTATTTCTAAGAGTAACTATGGAAATTATTTAATACCTTTATTTTCTTATTTAAAAATTAGAGGATAATGCATATAAAAATATGCAAGAATCACAGGAAACCCACATATCCAACCACCTAGATGAAATTGTTGCTGCTGTCAGCATAACGCCTGGAAAGAAGATCCAAAACAAGCTGCCTCAGACAGCACTATTCCAGCCTCCTCGAGAGAAACTCTGCCTCTGTGAAGAGAAAGCGAAGTCCTATTCCAGCAGTCAGGAGGTAAGGAGCCTTTCTTTTCTACACCTGTACTCTGGTAATTGAAAAGTAGGATATTCTAGGTTACATTCCCACTCTCTGGAGTTTGGTACAAGAGAGTATATAAGAGAGTGCCTTTTTCACAGCATGAATCGGTGTAGCACCTCAGGGCTCCAAGCCCAGCAGTTGGCATAGTCAATGTTGTGTTTGTTGAGTGACTGCACAAATGAACAAACAAGACTACCCTGACCTCTGGGGTGTATACCAGACTGACTGGTTGTAGATTTGACCTACTCAGTCATTTTCCATCAGCCAATAAATATTTATTGAGCTCCTCCTGTGTACCAGGGCTAAGCACTGGAAGACAACACAAAGCAGATGAAGCTTCTTCTCTCGTTGCTTAGATTTCTTATGTTCTTAATCTTCTTGTTCTCTGCACACTTCTTTCCCATTCTCTCCTCAAGTTTTACTCATTCACCCATTTATTCAATGTGTATTTCTCTACCCCCTCTTATGTGTCCAGTCCTGATCATCCAGTCATTATTTAACAAATATCTACTATATACCTCATATGTGCCAGGTGCTGGGGGCACAGATGGCAAAGCTACAGCCTCTGCCTTGGAGGGACTCATAGTTTGGTTGGGAAGACAGACAGCAGGACAGATAATGGTAGTTAGTATAATAAGTCCTGTGACAGACACAAGCTCTGGTGATATAGACACAAAACACGAGGAGTGAGGGAAAGTGGGGTGGGCAATGAGCCTGGAGTTGGTGGAGCAACAGCAGTTAAGGCACCACTCTTGGGAGAGGAGTTACTTGGGCTGTACTGATAACAGTGCTTCAAAGTTGGCCAGGTAAGGGAGAGGACAATAGTGTTCTGGGCAGAGGCAGCAGTTGGGCAAGAACTGAGGGTCAAAGGGTGCACAGTGTGTTTGGGGAACTACAAGGAGCTGTCTGGGATGCAGGCTTTAGTGACAGAGGGCAGGAAATGAGGTTGGATTATGGACAGGAACACCCTCTGGGTGTTCAACACCCAGGAAAAGAGTTTAGATTTTCTCCTCAAGGTGCTGGAGACTATCACAGGATTATAAGCAGGAGAATGCCATAGCAAGTTTCAGTTTCTGGAACAATCACTCAGATCTCAGAAAGCTGTATGGAGGAGGATGAGAAGGGAGTAAAACAGGAGGAGGGCCAGTTCGGAGGATATCTGCAATAATCCTGGCAAGGAATTATGAGGGCCTGAAGTACGGCAGAGGCAGTAGAGATGCTGAGATCTTTTGGCAGGTATTTGGAATTGTGAATCAGTAGGACCTGGTGACTGAGGAGATGCAGGAGATGGAGAGGCAAGACCAAGCCAGAGCGGCATGTGTACAATTCCTGACTTAGGTCTCAGCCAGCGTGGGTAACTAGAGGCTTGCTTGTGCCCTTTGTCATTGCAACGAATACAGGAAGAAGAGCAGAATTATGGAGAGGAGGTTTGAATTCCATTTTGAATGTTTACTTATTCATTATGCAACAGATATTTATTTAGTACCTACTGTGTGCCAGGCCCTGTGCTAGGTAGGCCTCAGCTGGCAGCCTTTCTCAACCAGAGTTCTGCAAAAGAATTAAGCCCTAAAAAAAAAAAAAGAATTAAGCCCTAATGCGCTAAGGCATTTAGTGTATGTAAAGAGTTAACTTCTCACCTGTGTGTCTAGAATGATACTAAAGCCTTTTCTGAGTTCTGCAGTTCAGATAAGGAACCCCTGGATCCAGTGGTGAACAGAACAGCCAGGTTGCATGCCCTCATGGAGCTGAGGGGCAATTGACTTGTAAATAAACTGGCTAACTAGAGACTGTGCTAAGTGCTAGAGAGGAAATAGAGCGGGGCTATCTTGGGTAGGGTGGTCTGGGAGGTCCTCTGTGAAGTGGTGACATATGAGCTAAGACCTGAAGAAGAGAAGGAGCCATCATGAAGGAGCTGAGGGAAAAGAGTTCTAGCAAGAAGGAACAGTACCCATAAATTCTGTAAGGTAGGCACAAGCGTGATGTGTTTGAAAAGAAGAGAGGAAGATGTGGGCTGACGTCAAATGCAGTTGGAGAGGCAGTCGGTTCAGTTAAGGCCTTGCAGGTCTCAAGTTAAGTGCCCTGGGAAGCTTTAAAAGTATTTTGAAGAAAATATTAACACTTGCTTTTTGAAATGTCCATTTTTTGGTAATTTTTTATTTTAAAATACTTTCAGACTTACAGAAAAGTTATAAGGTGCACGAATTGTGAACATTCACTTTATTGCTTTCTCTCTCTGTCATTGTTTTTCTGAACCATCTGAGAGTAAGTTACAGACATTATAGTTCTTTACCCCTAAATACTTCAGCATATATTTCCTAAGAATAAAGGATATTCTCCTACAACACCACAGTACAATGATTGAAATTGGGAAATTAATATTGGTATGATACTATTATCTAATCTACAAACCTTATCAACATTTCTCCAATTATCTCAATAATGTCATGTACAGAAAGAAAAAATCAGACAGATCCATGGTGCAATCCATGAATTCATGTTGAATATAGTTGCCATGTCTCTTTAGTCTCCTTTAATCTACTAGAACAGTTCCTTAGCCTGTCTTGGTCTTTCATAATCTTGATATTTTTGAAAAGTACTGTATTAGTCAGCTCAGGCTGCTGTAATAAAAACCACAGACAGGGTGGCTTAAACAACAGAAATGTATTTCTCACAATTCTGGAGGCTGGAAGTCCAAGGTCAAGGTGCCAGCAGGGTTGGTGTCTGGTGAGAGCTCTCCCCTTGGGTTGCAGACCACCACCTTCTAGGTGTGTCCTCACATGGCCTCTTCTTTGTGGATGTGGGGGAAGGAGGAGAAAAAGGTGTCTCTTCTTATAAGGACACTAATCCTATTGGATCAGTGCCCCACATTTATGACCTCATTTAACCTCAGTTACTTCCTTAGAGGCCCTATCTCCGAATGCCACAATGGAGGTTAGGGCTTCAACATGTGAATTTGCAGGTGGTCACAAACATTCAGTCTATAACAAGTAACTCCAATTATTTTGTAGACTATTTCCCAATTTGAATTTGTCATGCATTTCTTCATGATTAGATTCAGGTTATGCATTTTGGGCAGGAATCCCGCAGACATGACCGTAGGGCTCTTCTCAGTGCATCATATCAGGAGTCATATGATATCTTCTTGTCTTGTTACTATGATGCTAACTTTGATCACTTGGTTAAGGTGCTGTCTGGCAGGTTTCTTCACTGTAGAGTGACTGTTCTTCCCTTTGTAATTAATAAATATTTTGTGGGGAGATTCACTGAGATTTAAATATATCCTATTCCTCATTAAAACTTCACCTCCTAGTTTTAGCATCCATTGATGATTCTCACCTGAATTAGTTATTACTATGATGTTTGTCAAATGACGATTCTCTGACTTTGGGATTCTTTCAAAATTTATTTGTTGGCATTCTTTTATAAGGAAGAGCTTTTCCTTCTTCACACTTTATTGTTCACTTGTTTATATCAGTATGGGTTCAGGAAATCCTATTTTTCAAATATGTTACAATCCATTATAATCATCAAAGCTTGAATTGTCCTATATTTGCCACTGGGAGCCACTTCAGGCTGGCTCCTGAGTCCTGATACATCCCCATTATTCTTTCCTTAGTTTCCAGCACAACAAGATTTTTCAGGTTCATCTTGTACTTCCTCTGCTTCAGCTATGGATTCAAGGAATCCTGGTTCTTCTTAGTGGAGAATAGTATTTAGACACCACAATCTGGGTATTAAATACCCATTTTAAAATATATGTGGCCAGACTTACTGATCATCAGAGTTGCATATTTTAATATTAAGAGCTCAAGAATGATGTTATGGAAAGAGCTCTGGACTTTGCAACGAGGAGCTTGACTGTGAGTTCTGACTCTACCACTCTGTGGTAAATCATCTCACCTCTCTGGCCTTACATTTCTTCTTTAAATTGACAAAATCAGATTAGATGATTTCTAAGGTTCATCCCAGTTCTGAAATTGTCTGCCTACTCATACTTCTCTTCTGTGTACCCCCTACCCATGCCTGTTGGGTAAAACTACCGGAACTGGCAGGACAAAGATTGGAAAGCCAAAAGGGTTATCTGGACTATGCATTCTAGCAAATAAGAAAGTAGAGGGAGGGCTCTCTCTGTCCCCTGGTCCGTGATGCAGCTTGCAAGGACCAAGGCTATGATCTGGGAGACCTGACTCTCAGCCTGCATCGCCCCTTCCTTGGAAATCTGTGGTTGGGACAGATTCTCTATCAGATCACATCCCCCTCTCTTTTTGGCAGACTGCCTATCTAGACCTCCCAATGTTTTCATCATTGCTTTCTTTCTTATACACTGTATTCATTAGCTTTGTCTCCAAGGGAGCTATTCCCTAAACTTCGTGTCTCTAGAGGCAATAAAAAGATGATTCCCAAAAGAAGTACAAAGAGCCAAAAAACGTCTGAAGATATTCAGCCTCACCAGTTTGGGGGAAAAAATGCAAACTAAAACAAGAGAAATGAATTAACTGACAAATTGGCAAGTTAAAACACACCTCTATGTAAGCGGCATTCCTAATCGCACACGCTGTGCTGTAAGTGTGGATCGGTACAACCTCCCGAGGCAGCACTCTAGCAATCACTACGCAGAGCCTCAGGATTTTGCACATCCTTTACCCAATACTCGCATTTATAGGAATTTATTCTGGGGAAATACTTATGGATACAAGCAAAGCTATCCACACAGATGTTCAGAGAGTAAAAAATTTAAAAATAACCTAAATGCTCAATAACTCAATTATGATATATCCATGTAATAAAATACTATGCAGCCATTAAAAGATTACATGGAGAAGTGTTCACAAATTGTTAAAACAAGTGGCAACCCTACGTGTAGCTTATGAACCTATTTTAGAAAAAGAAAAAAATATATAGATTCATAGGAGTAAAGACTGGAGGGATATTTAGCTACCTAGTTGTCTCTAAGAGGTGAGATTGCAGGTGATGTTTTATTTTCATCTTTTTGCTCATCTATATTTTGATAATGAGCATGTATGACTTTTGTAATAAGAAAAATGTTTCTATACAAAAAAGCCACAGCTCCATCTTCTTTCATCACTAGGGAGTGAGCATAATGTCCCTCAGCCTCCTGCTGCTAGGTCACAAAAGTGATTGTGCTGTGGTCAACTGTCTGGCCATGTATTTTTGTGAAGATGAGTGTTGTTTCAGGGTGAAAGTATTTCTAGTCCATGTGGAAACTGTGTGGAAATGCAGGCCCTTTGAGCTTAGACGTTGACTGGGAGTGCGTCCTGGGTCTTCTGGATCTTCTCCAACACTCTGTCCTTATTTTTACCTTTCTTCCTCTGCTTTGCCCCCTTCAGTTTTGTACCTTCCACTTCCTCTTTTGCTATTCCAGCTATCTACTGCTATATAATATTCTAAAACTTAGTGGCATAAGACAAAAACAACCATTCATTTTGCTCATGAACCTACAATTTGTGCAGAGCTCAGTAGGGTCTGGTCAGCTGTGCTCCATGCAGCTTCAGCTGGGCTCAACAGATGTGGAGAATCTGCTGCCAAGATGGCTTACTCCTGTGGCTGAGTAATTGTTGCTGGCTACTGGCGCCATTCCCCTCTCCATGGGGTGGCATGGTGATTGGGTTATTAGTCTGCTAGGGCTGCCATAACAAAATGCCTCAGACTGGGTGGCTTTAACAACAGAAGTTTATTTTCTCACAGTTCTGGAGGCTAGAAGTCCAAGATCTAAATGTTGGCAGGGTTGATTTCATTCAGAGGCCTCTTTCCTTGGTTTGCAGATGGCTGTCCTCTTGCTGTGTCCTCACAAGGTGTTTCTCTGTGTGTGCGCATCCCTGGTGTCTCTTCCTCTTCTTATAAGGACATCAGTCATATTAGATTAGGGCCCCATCCTAATGGCCTCATTTTAACTTTTTCACCTCTTTAAAGACCTTCTCTCCAAATATAATTACATTCTGAAGTACTTGGGACTTCAACATATGAATTTTGCGGGGAACACAATTCAGCCCATAACAAGTTTCAAGAGTGAGTACCTAAGGAGAAACAGAAAGTGGAAGCCTCAAGGTCCTTAAGACCTGGGCCTGAAAAGTGGCACTGCATCATTTGCTCCGTGTTCTTTTGGCCAAACAGTCATAAAGCCCAGATTCAAAGGTAAGGGGACATTCAACCCTCATCTCTGGATGGATGGCAGCTGGAAAACCTAGGGAATGATTAGATGTCTGCTCCACTTATTCTACTTTTCTTTATTCCATTATGTTTTTCACCTATATATATATATATATATAGAGAGAGAGAGAGAGAGAGAGAGAGAGAGAATGAATAAAAGTACAGGATAGTTTTGAGCTTTGTGACTCTAAGATTTCAGTTGTCTAACTGGTAACCCTGTTTCCTCTTCCTCACAGTATAAACAGGCCGTCCAGGAGCTTGTGCGCAGCGTGGCACTGACAAGAATTTGCTATGGCGACTCCCATTGGAAACTAGCAGAGGCACATGTTAATCTGGCTCAAGGCTACCTCCAGCTGAAAGGTGAGTTCGTCTCAGCCTGAGGAGGATCAGTCAGTTGGTTTCTGCTCTTTCCTCATATTTGTCTCACACTTGACTAGAAGGATTAAGTTTTCTTGGATAGCCTCCTCTCCACACATTGATAAGCCATCTCCTTTCAGAAAGAATCAATAAGATTTTTTTTATATAATACATGAAAAAGGAAGGAAGATTTTTAGCCCTTTGGAATTTTGTTATTTATGATGTTAAAAGCTGGGTTCTTGGGAGAGAATTAATTTGTTAGCTTTGCCGGCATTGTAGAAAGGGCCCAGGGCATGGAGTAGGGGGCTAAAATGGGATCCATTCACATCTGTATTGATGGAGAGTCTCTTGCCTGTAAGTGACTGCCCTCCCCACAAAAATAAAAGACTAAATCAAGCTGGCAATAAACAAAGGTAATGTATCGGCTCGTACAACTTAAAAATTCAAGGGTAAAACTTACTGAGCTAGCCAGATCCAGGTGTGCAAACAATGTGATCAGTTTCTATTTCTCTTTTTTCCCACCACGTGGCTCTGTTTTTCTCTATATTGCCTCCATTCTTAGCCAGTCTTTGCCCACATGGTGGCAGTAAGGCTGCCAGCAATTTTAGCTTCCCTCCTCAACAGTCCCAGGACAAAAAGAATGTCTCTCTACCAAACTCTCAAGATTTAGGGGTTCTAATTGTGCCAATTTGGGTTGTATGTCAAAGGCAAGGAATAGTCTGATTGGCTAGACGTGCTTTTTGGCTCCACTGGATCCTAGGGAAGAAGCTGACCTTGGCTAAATCACATGGATTGGGTGTGTGGGGGCTGGGTGTCCCCAAAAGAAAACAGAGGAAGGGACAATGGATTCAGGGAAGGGAAAAACAGCAGGGTATCATGTCGTCTACTTTCTGACTGGCAACCTAGGACAAGATGTACAAGAGTAGATCTCTGTACTTCGTTTCTTCAACTGAAAAGTGATGGTAATGATGATGGTGGTACTAACTTCCTGGGATTGGTCCAGTGAATAAATAAAATAATAGAAGAGGACACTGCAATGCTAAGCATAGAATTGCCACTCAGTAAATTTGGCCAAATCTGATTATAGACTGGTCCTACCTGTTAGATCAAAGACTGTTTGAGCCAGAGGGGACCTTGGAGATCATCTAGTTCAAACCCCACCCAACTCCTTATTTTTTAAATTCAGAGGAAACAATGAGTCTGAGTTGAAGCAGCTTGCCTCGGATCATACTGTCAATAAGTAGCTGATCTGGGACTCAGACCTAGGATTTTGGATGCCAGTACAAGTGTCCTGGTATCTAGGATTTCAAATGATGCCTGTCTTCCACACCTTTCTACATAATAGTATTTCTTTCTCAATTTAAAGTAAAAGCAATATCTATCATTTATTAAGGTCTTATTGAGTGCCAGTTACCATGCTAACTATTTTCCATACATAATCTCATTCAATCTTCACCACAGTCCTATGAGGTAGGTAATACTATTAATCCTTGTTTACAGTTGAAGGAGTTGAGGCCGATGTTTCAGAGTAAGTGATGGAGCAGGGAATTCATCCTTAGCTGTTTGACTTCAGAGCCAGTGTTCTTGAACCTCAACCAATGCTGCCTCCAGCAGTTTGAGTTCAAGTTCCTTGAGAGAATGGACCAAAGTTGCAAATGTAGTCTACCATGCCTTTTGTAATAGTGCATGCATAATTGGCACTAGTAAATTTCTGGTAGGTTGAATAAGTGTGTGCTTTTAAAAAATAAGACAAAATTCTGTTAGGAGTTTCACAGGAAGAACATATCCTGGATTTTTTCCATCAGAAAATATATTCTTTCTGTTTTATAGACATAGGAACAGAATGAACTTTGTACTTTGACAGCTTTTTAAAGAGGTTTGAGATACAATTCCATACAATAAAGAACATAAGACCAGGAGTATATGCATGTAGGTGGGAGGGGGTGTGGAAGGGGGTGGCACTGGTGGGGAAGAGGATGGGAGTGTGGGGAAATGAAAAGCCCTGAAATCTAACTGGTGATTCCCAGTGACACTCTTACCACAAATTAATAAGCCCATGGAAGAACACTAGAACGGACTGGGGAATTAGTTCTCGGTAGTAACTTTTGTTTTTACTCCATTTTGTTTCATATTAGTGGATTACCACATAGGAACAAGAGATTATAGCACATTAGCCCATTACCTCATTGGAATGGTGTTTGTAAGTTTTTGTAGATATCATCATATTCATATTATGTTAAAATAACTCTAACGTTATGATTATAGGTGGGTGAGCAGAAGATTCAGAATTTTTAATATTTCATTAAGATTGCTGTCACAAAGCCAGGATTAAAATTCATGAATATCTTATTTCCTGCCCAGAATGCTATAGTCCTTGTATCCCATTTGTTTTTATAATTATTTAGAACATATTTTCCATCTGATATTGGTGAGGTTTCAAAACTGTTCAATTCCTGCTCATTCTGTTTGTTTTATTTCTAAAAGGACCATTTGGGGAAAAATTTATCTCAAGTACTAGTTGCAAAACACTTCTTTGGTTTTTACAGTCACGACAATATTTCGTGTGGCCCCTATACATCTCTATGTGCCACTTGACAATATGCAAAGGAGACCTCATTAGATTCCCTGGCCATAGATAACTGTATTCCTGTCCAGCTGAGATGAAAAAGAAACTGAGACCTCTTTTTCTTTGTCCACAGGGATGTCACTGCAAGCAAAACAACATGCAGAAAAAGCCAAAGAAATCCTCACCAACTCCATTGTACCTCCCTATCACGATGATACAGACGTTTTCAAGTGTTCAGTTGAACTATTCCATACCATGGGGAGAGCCTTACTCTCCCTTCACAAGTATCCTTTGCCGCTCACCTTTACAAATAGAAATACCCTTCATAATACTTATAGTTAATTTTCAAGGCCAAATCAAAAGCTGGCAGATGACTCAGGAAGGGTGGTGGGAAGTAGGAGAGCCAAGGATGTCTGGGAACTGGGGTCCCAGAATGTAGAACCAAGTGTAAAGTTTCCTGAACACAACTCAGATTTAAAGAAGCTTCAGAGAATTTGACCAAAGCAGAGAGACTTGCAAAGGAGCTGCTGCAATGTGAAAGGATTATAAAGGAAGAATGGATAGAAATTCAAGCGCGGATCAAATTGTCATTGGCACAGTAAGTTTCCAGCTTAGGATTTTTTGTATACGTGACAGCTGGAGGTTCTTTGCCAGAAGAATCTGTCTTCAGGCAGGAGGAGCTTCTCCATGATGCTGTGTCCGTGGTTTCTCTGTGGCGATTGTCCAGAAGTATAAAAGGCCCGCGGTCTATCTGCCTGCTCACCCTGCCCGCCTCCTCTTGCATGTATGCCCTTCCCTTCCCCTCCTCTTCTTTTTTTCCCCTAGTGCTTTAGTCTAAAATATTTCAATACATTGATTTTATGATTAAGGCCTCAAAGGAGAAAGATCTTAAAGATATCTGATTCCCTGAGGATGAGAGGATTTTTGTTTATTCCCCTCACCCTCACCCCACACTCACCAAATCAACCTAGCTGAAAGGTTGAATGCTTGGAGCCTGAGTGAGAAGAGGATGGACCTTAGGTAGTTAGCACATTTATCCTGCCCCAAAGGCCCACCCCAAGCCAATTCCCCAGAGCATTGGGGTAACAGTATGCATACAACTCTTTGGAAAGATGAGTTCATGGGAGGAAGAGGGCGGAGAAAGGTCTCTTCTAGAAAAGGTAGAGAATCCCCATGGAGGCCCTTAGCCAAAGCTGGAAGAATTCAGTTTACCTTCATCACCAAACTGTATGCATAGGTTGATCCCCAAGTGAACTCAGAGACCCAGTAGGATCATTTTAAGAAGGAAAGGGCCCTGAGAGAACACACCTAATGCTTCCATATAAGTGGAAACTGGGAAGGACCAACTTGGACTCATGCTTTTACAGATATTTTTTATGATCATAACTCCACTCTTGTTATTTTGTTTTGTTTGGGGGTTTTTTTGGACATGAAGTGCTGAAAATTCATCAGTCCATGCAAGACCTTTGGTATGCTTTTTTAAATTGATTTTTTTCTTTCATCTCTGATCCTTACTCTCATTCTGCCCCAAATATATCGTAGATACTTATTTTAATGATGATTTATGTCTTTGAATATGTATTTCTGAATAATAGTGTTGTTTTATGTATTTATGTGTTTTAGCTTTGTAGTATATTTGTATAAATTTGTAGTATATATCTCGCTCTTTCTCATTTTTTTCCACTTAGCACTGTTTTAGTTGTTGCCTGTACCTTAGTTCATTGCTGCTGGCTGCCTCACAGTGCTCCATAGACTGCATTTGCCATGTTATGCTTAGCCATCCTCTTAACAATGGACATTCAGCTTGTCCCCAGCTCCCTGCTCCCCCAGTGGTGCTCATGAACATCCTTGCACAGCTTCACTTATGTAGCGAAGAGAGAATTTTTGTGAAGTTTATATCCCAGAGGCGGGATTCTGAGTTTTATCCTCCAGGGATAGGATTGCGTGTTCACGGGGCACATTTGTACTTCAAGTTCACCACACATTGGCCGATTGCTACACCCATCTGCACTCCCGCTCTCAGGGCAGGCAGGTTTTCTCACATCCCCAACGATATTTGGCACTGTCGGTCTTTCTAACCATTGCCACCCTGATGCATATAATGTGCTATTTAGTTAGTTATTTTAAAATTCTGTTTACATTTCTCTTATTAGTGAGTTTGAGTACCTCTTCATATACTTCTTAGCCATTTGAGATTCCCCTTCTATGAATAGCTTGTTAGTATTCTTTCTCATTTTTCTTTTGGGCCTCCCTGTACTTTTCTTATTGATAATCAAGATTTTCTTGTATATTATAAATATTAGTGATGTTGCAAATATCTTCTTACATCTATTGCCCATGTATTAATTTTGTCTCTGCTATTCTTCATGGCATGGAAATTCTTAATTTTGCTAGAGTCAAATCTATTAATTTTTAACCTTATGATTTATGTTTTGGGAGTTTGTTTAGAAAGTCTTTCCCACCCAGGTGTCAAAGATATTCTCCAAAATATCCCCATAAGTCTTGCTTTAGGTCTGCCCCACATGCTCTAACATGTAGCATTATCATGTACCTTAAGTTCTTAGTAGTTCATAACTTAGTTTATAAATTATTCTTTAATCCATAGATTACTCAAATGATATGTTTTAGTTTGCAGATATGTGCAATTTTTCAAAGATATGTTTGATTTCTACTTTTATTGCACTATGGACAGAAACGTATTTATGTATATGGTATCGACGTTTTGAAATTTACTGAAGCTTCCTTTGTGACCTAGTCCATTGTCAGTTTTTGTGAATGTTCCAAATGTGCTACAGAAGAAATTATATTCTTTATTTGCTGTGTGTATGGTTCGAATAAATTTACACTAGGATGACCTTATTAATTCTGTTACTCAGATTTACATTTTTGTTTATCTTTTGCCAATTTGACATATTAGTGTTTAAGATGAGTGAGTTTAAATTTTGAACTACAATTATTGATCTATCTATAGCTCCTCATGGTTCTGCCAGTCATTGTTTTATATATTCTGAGATATTCTATTGGGTGGGAGGAGAGTTAAACAGCAGCATATCTTAATCTATTATTCTATTAGTCAGTATATGTTGTCCTTCTTTGTCCCCCACATCTATTTTGCCTAATATTAAAATTGGTACCCTAGCTGCCTTTTGGTACAAATTTTCCTATATCTTTTTCCATTCCTTAATTTTCAGTCTGTGGGTTTTTTTGTTTTAATTACTGATATATTGAGTTTAAATTTTCTTTTGTCCTGCCAATTTTATATTCCTTTCTTTCTCTTTTATTGCCTTCTTTTAGATTTATCAAATACTTTTATCATTCTATTTTCCTACCTATTAACTGGTAACTTATCCATTGTTTTATTTTTCTTCTAGTGACTACCATGGAGTTTGTCACTTTTAACCCTGACTTACTAGAATCTAACGTAAATTAGTCAGTTGGCCACGTCTTGACAATGTAAGGACCTTTTAAGCATGTTAATTCTCTTTATCCTCTTCTGCTTGGTGCTATGTTATTCTGTATTTATTTATTTATTTATTTGTTTGTTTATTTTTGTGAGGAAGATCGGCCCTGAGCTAACATCTGCCAATCCTCTTCTTTTTGCTGAGGAAGACTGGCCGTGGGCTAACATCCATGCCCATCTTCCTCCACTTTGTATGGGATGCCACCACAGCGTGGCTCGACAAGCAGTGTGTCGGTACACGCCCGGGATCTGAACCGGCAAACCCTGGGCCGCCGCAGCGGAGCGTGCGCACTTAACCGCTTGCGCACCAGGCCGGCCCCTATGTTGTTCTGTATTTAAACCACCATATATTTCATTACCACAAACGAGCACAGAGAGGAAGAAGATATTTGTAATACATATAACTGGCAAAGGGTTCGTATCTAGAATCTGTAGAGAACTCATATATCAATAAAACAAACACAAACAACTGAATAGGATGAAACTGAAACACAAAAAACGATACCCACATAGCTGATAAACATTAAATAGTGTTCCACCTTATCAGTCATCGAGAAATGAAAATTAAAATAAGATACTACTACATTTCCACTAGAATGGCTAAAGTTTTTTAAAAGAATGATAATATCAAGTGTTGGCAAGGATGTCGTGCTTTCATATGCTTTCTCTTATGTTGTTGTTTAGAATATATTTGGTCTAATTACTGTAGAAAACTGTTTGGCTTTATCTTTTAAATTTGAACGTTTGCATACCCTATGACCCAGCAGTATCCCTCCTTAATATACACTCAACATAAATGCACACGTATGTTCACCAAAAGACACAGCCATGAATGTCCAAAGCTACATTATTTGTAATAGCCAAGAATTGGAAACAACCTAAACATTCATCAAAAGTAGAATAGATAAAATTGTGATCTGTTCACACAAAGAAAATGATCAAACTACTCCTATGCTTAACATCATGGATGACTCTCACAGCATAATGTTTAGTGAAAGAAGCCAGATCAAAAAGAATTCATACTGTATGCTTCCATTTATGTAACAAGAGGAGGAAGAGAGTAGTGACTGGAAGGGCCTACCAGTCCAGAATTTCTTCTTGCCCAGAAGTAGGTATTCTATCCTGTATTGTAGGATAGGAAATATACAAATCAGGTCCAAGATCTGATATTTGTTGCATCTGTTGAGACCTAACGAATGTTATTAGTACTTAATGTTGAGCAGTGTTGCTACAAAATCGGGTAAATTATCCTCTGCCAGGATCTGGCACCTCATCCAATAGTGCTTTCCAAATTAGCAGTGCCAAGCCTTGCCAGCAGATGGCGAGCCTTGTACGCATCTGTGCTGGATACCCAACAAGAATTTAAGTTAATGCTCTCAACTATCCCACAAAGTTACTTTGTGTTTAGTGGAGTTGTTTTACACTTTGCTACTTTTTTGCATCCTGATTCTTCACAGTGATTCACTGGAACTTGCATGTTTAAACCGCCTGGTTTTTATTTGATCAGTTTGCTGTTTCTCATCACTAAAGTGTGAATATTTTGCCTAAACCCACCTGCTTTAGAAAGTAACAAGGCTTTGGGTTTGTACATTTCTGTAGTCATACTCACAACCACAATGGACTTTTCTTTGGCCAGGTCTTGGAGGTGGAAGGCCAGGATAATTTCTCTGGCAGCTCTCGCGGGATTTATGTTTCTCTTAAAAGGGTATCTTTCAGTGCATCTTCTTCCTCCTCCTGCCTCGCCTTTTATGGTGCCCATCAGACCAGGCCAGTTCTTTTCTCCTTGGGCTTACAGATAAGTGCTGCAGGGTGACTCATGCTCTGTGCCTTCCATCCCTAACTGTGGCCTGAAGCTTCGTCCCTTCTACCTGTCCTCTGTTCCAGCACTACTTCATTCACTAATTATTTATTAACTTTGAAGAGTGAATCCAAATCATATGTTCCTATGCGTGCAGTTGTTTTTTTAAATCTGATAAAGAAAGTCACTAGGAAAAATGGGCAAACTCTTCCCCAATATTAAGAATTATTTTCTTTTTCTATCCTGGTTGCTGATAGCTAGATCTCCAGACTCAGATGGTTGTCTCAATATACACAGGCACACACCGTTACACACACATCTTTTTAAATGATCTTTCTGT